TTCCCTTAGTCCAGTCATAGAAGAAGTGTAGTCGGGGTTTCAGTAGAGCTAAAATCAGAGCCAATGTCCAGAGTTTCCTTTCCATCTCGGAGCCAGGTCCAGTTCAGCATCAGGATAGTTACAGTCATTAGTCCATGGTGTGTGGGGTCTGCCAGGGCTGTGGGCCACATGGGAGAATGCCAGGAAGCCGAGCATGAGCCATGAGCCAAGGGTGGCAAGAGGAACCTAGAGAGCAATCTTCTTTATTCAGGGGACTATATATCCCAAATTTTTATGCACTTGCAGTAGCCACGCCCATTCTAGTCAAAGACCTCTGTTCCCAGGTGTGACTGACAGCAATCATCTTCTCTAGTCACCCCAACTTTACTGGGCATGATTCTATTTTCCCTTTGTCCAGTCCCCTTTCCCCAGTGTTTTGCAGAGAAGATGCCTAATAATGTCTGGCCTTCCCTTTGTTCCTTTCCTATTATTAATAATTAGCTAATTACCATGATATCAGGTTCTTGTGTCTTATGCAGTCAATCCTTTCTGACACTATTGTCTCCCTGAACTTTCTGATCCTTCTTAATATTATGTCAAGGAAATAGCAACAACTCCACCTTATATACTACACCACCATGTGTCCAAGCTTCCCAACAGAATATTAAGAGTGGATTTATTTGCCCTTGCCAAAGTAGAGTCCCTGGAGTCATTATTGAGGGCCTGCATGTCAATATATTCTCCATATCCAACCTAAATTAAGAGAACTCCTAGATCCCCTACCCTTAAGACCCATTTCCAGCATGTTCTCTTATTCCCACTGATGTGTTAACAATATGTGCTAAAATTAGCATGAAGTTATTTTCTTTTGGAACAGAACAGTATTTATACCTGATTGGGCTATGCTGGAAACTTGTCCTGAAGCAATGAGGTGTAGGAGGGCATATCTTGAGGAGAACAAATGTTAACCTGCCTCAGATGAATAACTGAACAGTTTCTGGGGGTGGAGAGGTTCTTCTGCTCTTGTAAAGGGTAGGAGTCTGCCCCTGGCGGTCCTGCAACCCCCAGATCCTACAAAATCTGGGGGCTCCAAATTTTCAGCTTCATTCACCTAAATATCCCTGTTTCAGGTCCCAAGGTTCAATCTTTTTATGTCAGAGACACAATTTTAATGTAATGGTTTCAGCAATTACTACCCGTCATCCAATTTAAAAACAGAACCAATGAAAACTCTGGAATTTTGCCTTGTTTTCATGTCCCATTTTCTACTCTCCTTAATAACAAAACTTCATTATATATAATATTTTCACCATGTCTCTGCCTTCTTACATTTTATTCCCTCCTTAACCTTCCCCACTGAACCTAGCTTCTACCCCTACAGTTTGCTAACATTGCTTTTGTTAGGGTCACCACTTAGAGATGTTTCTCTATTTACAAGGTGGTTACGTCCTGATAAACCCACCATAGCTGAAAATACCATTCAGTTGAAATGCGTTTAATACCCTAATGTACCAAACGTCATAGTGTAGCTTGCTTAAATGTGCTCAGAACACTTTTATTAGCCTATAGTTGGGCAATTATCTTGACTTTCATTTCAAGAGTAATTGCCTTCTTCTTCTTTTTCTTCTCACCAGAAATAGGGGACACAGATGGACGTTTTGTAGACATAATGGGATGCAAAAACACAATACCCAAAAAACACAGACAACCTAGTCTGCTATAGAGCATCAGTTGTTTACCCTCATGAACATGTGGCTGACCGAGAACTGCGGCCCGCTGCGCTACCAGCATCATAAGAGACTATCGTACCACCTATCACAAGCCATGAAAAAAATCAAAAATTAAAATTGGGAGTATAATCTCTGCTGAGTGCATATTGCTCCCACACCATTGTAAAATAAAAGTTAAAGCATCTTAGGTTGAAGTCTGTCTATATATCCATGTTGCCAAATCCATTGGTTATTTTGCTACATCAGTTTGATTGTTTTTTTTCTCAGCAGCACTGGAAAGCTGCTCTGCCTCTCCTCATAACACAATGCCGCCTCTCATTCCCATGAAACCACACTCCCCCGCTTTATTCTTATCGTCCTGGGAGCTCCTTCTTGTGTCCTTTTGCTAATACTTTCTCCTCATTTTTACCTCTAAAGATTTGAATATTTCAGGGCTCAGTTCTAGTGTCATTTTTTCTGTATAGTTTTTAGATCATCCAATGTATATGTTGATGACTTCCGAATTTATATCTCTTTTCTCTATATTTAGTTACAGATCATTACAATGATCTATTTGACATTTCTCTTGTTTATTTCATATGATCTCTCAAACACATATGTAAAAGAATAGAATTTTGGATTTCTATTCTCCCACCCCTTAATATCTCCTCCTCAATCTTAGGCAACAATGTACCTCCAATTTTTAAAGTAAAAACAATGTAAACATTTTTTAAGTCTCTTTTTTCTTTAATTTCCTCCCTTCACCTAATCAAGTAATAAGACCTATGAGTTTTACCCATACAACATATAGAATTCATTCATTAAAAAATTACCTAATTCTATTGCCACAATCCAAATCTGAGCCACTGTGATTTCTCATACAAACTACTAACTATAATAATGTACCAGATAGTCCCCTTACCTATAATTCCCCCCACGCCCAACACATAGAATATCTATTCTTATAACCAGAGTGGACTTTAATTTACATATGAATTAAACTGTTACACATAGCTTCAATTCCTTTAATGTCTTCCAGTTGAACTTAAATCTAAATTCCCTCTCACGACCTATAAGGCCTTTCATGATCTTGCCAGTCACCTTTTGCTCACCGTGCTGTGATCATTCAGATCTTATTCCTCAAACAGTTACTCCTCAGGGTACTGGTACTTGCTTTGCCACACTTCGGGAATATTATTTGTCCATAATATTGCATGGCTGGATTATATTTGTGATTCAAGTCTCAGCTTGAAATCTCACTTTCTTAGGTAGGTCTATCTAAGCTACACTGTATAAAGCTATCCCTCATTTCCAGTTTTTTCAGTTGCATTAGTCATGACTTGTAACTGTTTCTTGGTTTTCTGATCATTTTGTCTCCCACAATGTTTTCCATGGCTGTGCATAAAAGCATGGACTTTGTCATGTTTCAACTGTATTTTTTTTTTGTAAATAAAGTTTTATTAGAGCACAGCCACAGTCATCATTTACATATTGCCTATGTCATCTGTAGTTTGAGCACTCAGTCTGGTGCCTAACACTCAGACATTTGATGTGTGAGTGAATATGTATCTATTAAAAAAGGATTAAAAAGGGAAAGAAATCTGCTTGCACTCTCTGTAACCCCTTCACTACATTCTCTTAGAGAAAGCCAGAAAACTCTACTTCAAACAGCGGGAGTCAAAGAAACAGTACAAATACTTCTTTCAGCCTTGAGAGATTATCATTTTTGATAATTTCTCAGAATTGATAGAATCTCAGAAGATAAACCACTTAACTTGGCTACATCACTTTTATACTGATTTGCCCATCAGAATTATGTACAGTAAGAGGTCCCTAATACGGCTTCTGTTTCTACCTCGGTGGCCTTCGCCTGACTGCAGTCTACAGAGAAATTGAATGTTGAGGTGCTATGTTTGTAATGTATGTAGATGATCAAGTTCCTAGAATCCACAATGTGAAGACATTAAACATGGAACTTTTAAGATTCCCTTTAGCCCTTATGGTTCTTTTGTTCCCATACCTAATAAATCTACATAATCTGGCCTCTGCTTAGCTGGGGGGCAGGGACAGGTATTCTTTAAGACACTATTAAAAAGAATGTAAGTTTTAGCTTATGAGCATAATTTTTTATTGTTTTTTTTTTTAACTTATAAAGCACTTAGTAAATCTATGCAAAACTATCAGCTTAATGTGTATCTTCTGCACTGTCAGATTCAGAGGAGAACATTAACATATGAAATTTAACATATGAAGTGTAAAAGTAATTTTTATTTTTACCAAATTATTGATCAGAATATTTATAAACATTTTGTCGTCTGCACAGAAAGTCCATGGCTCCTCTCAGCTGGTTAATAATTCAAAATATCTTTGCCACAACATAAATGATGTGCTATTGATGGAATTTCCGAAAAAGATATCTCATGAATGACTTATGTATAAACCGAATAATATCCTCCTGGTGTATAGAGATGATGATCTGTATTGAATCAATGTCTTCTTTGACAGTTTTGACATTTTAACATCTCAAAACGTAAGTTTCTGATGGAAGGTCTCTTCTTATCAGGGTGTCATGACAACCAATGCCTGGTGCAGTCCTAGTTTGGTAAAAGCAAATTTACACATGTCTTTTTTGTAAGAAATATCCTTCAGTAAGGCTTCTTGTTTAGCCATCCTTATTTTACAGAAACTTTTTATATAAACTGTCCTCTCACACGTATAAAGTATCTTTGTTTTACTGATCTATGATCCTAAAATAATTTTTGAATTTGCTGTTACAATATTTATTTAAATCACAATTTGTTTTGTGATTACAGTCAGTATAGATTTCTGCTACATTCATAGAATTACATAGCATTTATTAAGAACTGTAACTCTATCTTTTGCAAAGGTGGAGCTTAGTTGAACGATCTGAGAAGAACAATCTAGCCAGGACCATGACGATGAGCCAGCTGCTTTTCATAGGGATGCAAATAAGAGCAAGATGCTATAACAGATGTTCCGAATTAGCTATACATTTTGCATCTAGAGAAATGATTTAGAACTAACTATGAAAATACTCTCTTCTCTCACAGTTTGTTTTAAAACATGTTTAACAAAACACTCTCATGGGAAAGACAGAGAGAAGAGAGACAAAAAGGGAAAGAGAGATAAAGAGGCAAAATAAGCTCTACATAAGATTTCCTATGTTATAAATATACTAAATACATTTTAATGTAATAAACTATATGAAACCAACATTAATGTAAGAACTGAAGATAATATATATTTTGTCTTCCTTTGTCATAGAAAATGATAGTTTGTCTTCAGATCTGTTTACGGTGTTAGACATTTCATTTTTTTTAGTGCATGTGTTACTTTAAGTAGCACCCTTAGAGATGCTTGTCTTAGTTTATTGTTCCCCAGAATTAATATAAATGAATGGCTTGAGGGATAGATTAGAGCTATCAACTCACCAATTATCACAGCTAGTTCTGTCTCTGGCATGAAGTAACTGGAGGTGGCTACAAGAAAGGACAAATAGTAGGCAATGAAAAGTAGGAGGAAGGAGATGACAGCTTTCATGGCTCCCATGTGGGCATCTGTGCTGGGGTCTCTGGCCCCTGTAGCAATGAGCTGCATCTGCTTGATGTGTCTCCAAAGGGAGAGGATCAGGAGGAGAAATGAAATCAGGGACACAGAAAAGGGGAACAGCGCCAACGCGTTCAGCGTCAACACCTTGATGGAAGCATATTGAGCTTTATTTTCTCTGCATCTCAAAGTTAAGTTTGTTTTCTGCTTGAACTTGACACAAAGCCTGAAATCATCATTCAAATTCTCAGTGACAGGAAGGCTAATAAACACGGAGAATGCCAAGCACACCAGCAGGATCCCAGGAATCACTCTGTCAATTCTCCACTTCATCCAGAGGAAAAGAGGATGGAAGAAATTAGCTATCTTGAGGAAATAGAAAATGCTGAGGCAGGTGGCAAACCAGACACTTACATGGTTGGTTAATGTCCAGAAGAAGTCAATGATTCTCATTTGTTTACCAGTGGCATAGACATCTGGATGCAGGATCAATACAAAACAATCTAAAAGTATTATACACAATAGAAAAATCCTGGATATGGCCAAACATGTGAGGATTAAATCAATGGGAGCAATCTTCTTATTCTTGATCCAGTCCATGCAGTTTACCAATCCAATAAATGCATTTCCTAAAATCCCCACTGAAAACTCTCCAATTGCTATGATCATTAAGGTGTGGTATTCTACATCTGACATGTTAAAACAGAAATATCCAATTTGTTTTTATTTCAACTGATGTAGTATAACTACACCTACTTCTTAATTTTGCTGCTATTTACCTCTTTTATGATGGAGATTTTAATGGCAAATGAAGACTGTAGCTATCTTCATTAAATCCTAATTAATCTTGACAAACATTGTGGTTGACGATCTCTGGACTGGTTGCTGTATATCCATTTATCTTCCCAGCAAGTTTTACTTTTCCACTTATGATTAATTTGGGCTGAGCTTCAGTTTGCCAAAATGCAAATTAGGCCGATTCCCGTTCATGGCCCTGGACTGTCTTTCTCATGTTACATTTTGCAAATTTTGTATTTATTACTTGGTGATGCATGCTAGTAACCTCAACAGGTGTGCCAGATTTAACAAATAAGAATATAGAACACCTAGCTAAATTTGAATGCCAAATAAACAATGAATGTTTTTTGTTGTTGTTGTTTTAGTGTATGTCCCAAATGCATAAGATAACTACTTCCAGGAGGCACTGAAATTCAAATTAATTGAATATCCTGTATTTCATCTGGCAAACTTAAACCTCAAGCATTTCTAGCAATTAGAAAATGGCCAAAGAATTGAAATTTGTAGAGGGATCTTCATTTGTTGAACGATAGTACTAATTACTACTAAAAATCCAAAGTTTGGTTTAACATTGAGAGCTATATGTTTCCAGGGAGTTTAAAAGGTTAACACTAAATATAAATTATTTGGTTTTTATTTTTTTTATTTTTTTTATTTATTTTTATCCTCACCCGAGGACATTTTTCCATTTTTTGTTCAGGTAGAGCGGGAGGGAGAGAGAGGAACAGAGAGAGAGAGAGAAACATCGACATGAAAGGGACACATCGAGTGGCTGCCACCCGCACAACCGACCAGGGCCGGGGACAAACTGCAACCGAGGTACGCGCCCTTAGCGGGAACCGAACCCGGGTCTCTCAGGACCGCAGGCCGACACTCTAACCGCTGAAACAAACCGGCCAGGGCAATTATTTGGTTTTTAAAAAATATTTTTGCTCATTTTATTTCGGTTGTTCAGATGAACAATTATATGGCACCAAGTCATATTAGTTGAGTGATATTTAAAGTTTATTTAGTTTGTCATGCTCTGTATATAAGAAGGTGAAGGAGCCATGATAAAGAAGAGTATTGGTTACCTTTAGATTTTTCCTTTTTGTTTTAAAATGTTCCCAAGGCAGTTGGATACAGAAGAGGGAAGACAATAAAAGCTACCCCCCTACCTACCAAACTTCATCTGAATATCTAGCTCTTTAGCCCTTCTGATCTGTTAGGCAGGAGACTGATGGTTACATTTATCTTATTTCTGAAGACTAATTCTTGTTTTGAAATAGCTTCTCTACTTATTCACAGGTGATCACTTTCCTCTGGAAATGACCCCTGACCCAGGTACACTGTTTTCATATCCATAGTGTTCTTATAAATAAGTGCTCATGATAACTATGATAATACCTTTCCCCAAATAAATTTTAGACTAATATATATATTTTTACAAATAAATGTGGATTTTGTGCTTACTGGTGTTGTATAGTGTGAAAGTTTCAATGTAGCTACTGTGAAAAACATTATGAAAATTCCTTAAGTTTTAAAAAATACAACTATCCTATGATCCAGCAACCTCACTTCTGGGTATATACCCAAAAGAACTGAAATCTGGATCTTGAAGAAATAATTTGCATGCTTAAGTTTATTGCAGAATTATTCACAATAACTATAATGTAGAAACAATGTAAAACCCCCTGAACAGATGAGTGGTTAAAGAAAATATGATATATACATACAATAGAATATTATTCAGTCATAAGAAAATCTTGCAATATGAAAAATGTGGTTGAACTCGGAGGATATTATGCTGGATGAAATAAGCTTGCTACAGAAGGACAAATGCCATACAATTTCTCTTATATGAGGTATCTAAAATAAAACAAATTCATGGAAGCAGAGAGTAAAACAGTGGTTGCCAGGGCCTGAGAGGAAAGAGGTGGAGAGTTGCTATTCAACAAGCACAAAGTTTCAGCTATGAGTCAATTCTAGAGACCTGCTATACAACATTGTGTTAATAATTGTTAACAATGTTAACAATACTGCATTATACATATAAAATTTGGCTACAAGGGTAAATATCCTGTCAGAAATTCTTAATACAATAAAAAGAAGAAGAAAAATATTCTGCAAGAGAGCATTTTGTCACATGCTTCCTCCTTTGAACCCTAGTCATAGCCATAGATATTTGAAACACGGAAGATACAGAAAACAAAACATGGAAGTAAGGACTTCAGCCGAATGCTGGCAAGCCTTCCCAGAAGCACTGATCTTATAAAACATTGAATTCATCTGAACCTGCAGAAGAATATAAAGTTTATCCAGACATAGAATTTATAGGCATTATGAAATGCAAGTTGTTTGAAGAAAATTTTGATTTCGAGCCCGGGCCGGTTTGGCTCAGCGGTTAGAGCGTTGGCCTGCGGTCTGGAGAGACCCGGGTTCGGTTCCCGCTAAGGGCACGTATCTCGGTTGCAGTTTGTCCCTGGCCCTGGTTGGGTCGTGTGGGTGGCGACCACTCGATGTGTCCCTTTTACATCGATGTTTCTCTCTCTCTCTCTCTCTCTCTCTCTCTCTCTCTCTCTCTCTCTCCCCCCCCACTCTATCTGAACAAAATATCGAAAAATGTCCTCGGTTGAGGATAAAAAAAAAAAAGGAGAAAATTTTGATTTTGAGAGAAATAAAAAGGAGATGTCAGAATAAGGTCAACTTTGAAATATTACCTGGGAGACCACCTAAAACATCACTCAGCTGGGAGGAGAGCCATGTATCACCAGAACACTGAGCCACTTAAAGATATGTACCCAAAATAAGTGAAATAACTGGGAAAAAATGAGAATGGACCTATAAAAAATGATATTTTTTATTTAAAAAATAAGATGTGCTAAAAAATTAAGTGCGATTTTAAGGCCAAGATTTTACATCACACATGCGATTTTCCCACATCTCAGCATCCTGACGGATGCCTGCCTTCGCTTGTGATTTTGAATAATAAAATAAGTGAGGGCCCGGCTGGTGTGGCTCAGTGGATTGAGCATTGTCCCATGAACTGAGAGGTCCTGGTTCAATTCCCAGTCAGGGCACATGGCCGGGTGTGGGCTAGGTCCCCAGTGGGGGGACTGCAGAAGGCAGCCAATCAATGTTTCTCTCTCACATCGATGTGTCTATCTCTCTCTTCCTTCCTCTCTCTCTCAAAAAATAAATGAAAATATGTTTAACAAAATAAACAAGTGAGGGACCTGAGGGATAGAAAGTTGCTATAAGCTCTCCAAACATCACAGATAACTTGCTTTCTTTAATAAGGTAGCTAATGTCACCCAAAGAGAAGCTATATAGTACACAAAAAGAAGGAAGAGAAATGAAATCAGTTTTCAGGGTTCCCACATGGGCTTCGGTTCTGGGGTCTCTACAGCCTGTAACATTGAGCTTTATTTGCTTTGTATGCCTCTATAAGGACATAATTAAAAGAAAAAATCACATCAATGACACAGAAAATGGGACAATTGACAACAGGTCAAGTGACAATGGGTTGAAGTATTAAATTTTACTCACATGGAACAACCCAGTGACATTTATTTTGCAATTTTAAGAAACTCAGAATTATACCTCAATATCACTGCTAGCATAAGGCTGTTCAACAAGGAAATGGGCTCTGTCAATTCTTCTTTTTTTTAATCTATAATTTTATAAACTTATCTTTATCGTTGAATGTATTACAGATGTCCCCCGCATTTTCCCCCTTTGACCCCCCTCCTCCCCAAACCCAACCCCCTCCTGCCTTCCCCACACTATTGTCTGTGTTCATTGGTTATGCATATATGCATAGAAGTTCCTTGGTTTATCTCATCCCTCCCTCCCTCTCCCTTTCCCTTTGAGGCTCATCAGTCTAACAAACAATTTGTACTTCTTAATTTCTTCATCTTTTTCACCCATCCCTCTAGCACTCTCCCATCTGGCAAGCAACAAAAAGTTCACTGTATCTATGAGTCTATTTCTGTTCTGCTTACTCATTTTGTTTGTAGATTCAATTGTTGATAGATATGTATTAATTGCCATTTTATTGTTCATATTTTTTTAATCTTATTCTTCTTCAAGAAGACCTGTCAACATTTCATATAATACTGGTTTGGTGGTGATGAACTTTTTTAGCATTTTCTTGTCTGGGAAACTCTCTATATGTCCATCAATTCTAAATGATAGCTTTGCAGGATAGAGATCTCGGTTGTAGGTTGTTGCTTTTCATCACCTTGAATATCTCTTGCCACTCCTTTCTGGTCTGCAAATTTCTTTTGAGAAATCAGCTGACAGTCTTATGGGAGCTCCTTTGTAGGTAACTAACTGCTTTTCTCTTGCTGCTTTTAAGATTCTCTCTTTGTCTTAAACCTTTTGCATTTTGATGATGATGTGTCTTGGTGTGAACCTCTTTGGGTTCATTTTGTTTGGGACTCTGCTTACTGGACTTGTATGTCTGTTTCCTTCACCAAGTTAGGGAAGTTTGCTGTCATTATTTTTTCAAATAGGTATTTATTTATTTATTTATTTTCCATTTTTAGTTCAGATAGAATGGGAGGGAGAGAGAGAGGAACAGAGAGAGAGAGAGAAACGTCGACGTGAAAGGGACACATGGAGTGGTCGCCACCCGTGCGACCCAACCAGGGCCGGGGACAAACTGCAACCGAGGTACATGCCCTTAGCAGGAACAGAACTGAAGTCTCTCTGGACCACAGGCTGATGCTCTAACCACTGAGCCAAACCAGCCAGGGCCGGCTACTTATTCTTTTTAAATACTTATAGGTCTGATCATGTGACTGCTTGGCAGGCATGCATTTAAAGTAAACTAGGAATCCCTAGAAATGTATAATTGCAGGTAATGATGGAGGAATTTATATATAATAAAAAAGAAAGGCTAATTCTCTGTCAAT